GTCTCCTTATTGGGGTATTATGGTCACGTGCTCCATAGAAACCTAGCAGGAGTAGATTTAAATGCCTGCCATTCTCAATTATGAGAATTGCCAAGGTTCCTTAATCTGCTTGATCTTATCAGTTTTTCTGTCTGGTGGCAAAGTTCACTGCCCCACACAGTAGCAGCAGGAAACTAAAGATATTTAAACTTGAATCAAGCCAGTTGTGGTTATCTTTCTGGTTTGGGGAGCTGTAATTACTGTCAGAATCCAGAAGAGATAAGGTGGGGGGGGCTTCAGCAGTGTCTTTCTCAAAGCCCACCTATCCCTATACAATTGAAAGAAGACTGCAAGTTCTCTCTCTCCGAAGGGTTGCTACCGCTAACTGTTTGACCCTTACACTGTGTACACTTTGGCGTGTGGGCTGCACACTCTAAGGAGACTCTTTACCCTGGGTCAAAAGGGTTGGTACTGTCATTCCTTAGCTAAAAGAAGAGCACGCTCACACCAAAACTCTTCCATTCTCTTTAGTACCACATTGTACAACTGGCTGAGAGATCCAGGAGACCCAACAAGTTTGCTACCTTTCCCCATCAAGGGCACTAACCAGTTCCACTGCATGGAATCAGACAGCACCTAATGACTTAATTATAAAAGCATTCAGATGTATTAGCTTTTTCTTCTAGCTATGGGTTTTGAATACAGGATACACAATGAGACCCACTGATATATTGAAAAAATATCCAGTTTTCACTAAGTCTGGACTTCTAGCCCCTTGAATCTCACTTAGCTCACAAAGAAGTTAGTGCCCAAACAATTCATCTTCTGCTAGGCATGTCCTATCAGGCAGTGTGGGGTTGATTTGTCTCACCTAGATGCTCTGTGTTATTTGGTGTATTTAATTCAAAAGTTTATGGTGAACAACCTAAGTTAAATAATGCATCAAAAACAGTGTACTTTTCTAAAGATGCTATATTCTTCATTAATTCAGTCAGCAAATACCACCCCATCTGAGAGCAGGTACCTCTAGCAGATGGAACTGAGGTAGTAAACTAAGCGTATCAGTAGCACAGGCAAGCTGGAGGACGTTAACTGCCTGAGTTATTTTTGGGCGGTTCAGCAGATTTCTTCTTTCCATAATAAGTGAATTTTTCTCCACAGAATTTTAAATTTAACTGATTTTTCCCCTCCACAAAATAAAGTTATTCCAAAAAGGAATGTTCATTAACTCTGTACCATGAGTTACTTTTGCGATCAAATTCCAGAAAGAGAAAAAAGGTCAAATGTCACTTTTTAAAGTGCATCTACCACTCCTTGATCTAGAGGATGCTTAGAAGGGTCACAACATAAAACGTTCACCTATTTTATATAGAACTGAAAAGCGACTGAACCCCTTTTCACATGTTAATACAAAATGCAAGCCTTTCTCCAAATTGAGTAAGAGAAAGTATAGTCTGAGAGAAATATGAGTGGCTATTGCCCACGATACCCCAAATGAAATATTCTAACACAGAAGCAGTTACATGCAATATTTATATTCACAGATCAAAAGAAAACCATAAATCAAGGTACTTATCAAATATGTTAGTGTAAAACACCAGGTAGGTATGTCACATCAAAGCAGGGAAGTTTCTGGCATGATCTTAAATGTTTTCTGATAACGTGGTCTTAGTAGAGGCCAATAGTCTGCTTAGTTAATATATTTCAAAGGTTCACTTGATAGTCAAAAGGATGTTAGTTAGGTCAGGTTCAAGGGCTGCCCATAAATGGCAATTAAATGAGCTAAAGATAAGACTGGCTCTCAATCTGTAGCATCCTAGTACTCTAGAGAAAGGAAGCCCTAACAATCAACCAGTTGTCTTTGGGATCTTCCCCTTGGGTGTGGCTAAATCAGGGAACTTCACTGAACACTTCAAGTTAACAAATGATGGCAACACTGGCTTCCTGAAGTGTCAATCCCATTCTGTCACCTAATCAGCTGTGGAAAGCTGATTTTTGTATGGGTTATAAGACCTCTGAATTGGAATGCTAGTGTCTTAGTTACTTGCCTGTTGCTATGGTGAGATCTCATGGCCAAATCAATGGTAAGAGAATGTGTCAGAGACGGAAGGAGCTCACTTCCCCAGGAGTCCTTCCTTCTTTCATTGTTGAGACTGAACCAAGGGCAACTGAAGTCAGGAGCCCAAAGCTGTGGCCACTTCAAGCCCTTGGTCTCCATCTTGATTTCTGCCCTGTGTGGGCACAGAAGAGTAGAGGGAGAAGGAACAGTGAAGAGCCTCTTGGGAAGAGGAGGTGCTCTCTGCAGTAACGGATGTTACTGTCATCTCCACTGAGCAGAAACAAGAAGGTTGTCCTTTCCCAAGCCAACTCTTCAGCTGAGAACCCCCATATCATGTGAAAGGTCCAACAAACCTTAGTTTCAGTTTCACTTTGCGTAGCTTGAATTAGAGATGGAAAATTCTAGAAAGGATTTGTAGTTTTAAAACAACTTTTATTGTAGTGTATGATGATAAACATTCTATTTCATCACTGGCTGACACTGATCTTTCTCTTGGAGTACCTAATTAGTAACTGAAGCTTCATCATAGGCATACATTTGTAAAGAAAAAAAAATTAGTCTGTACAGGGCTTCATCTTGATTCATTTTTGGAAGTGGTCGCTAGCCCTCTTGTATTCTGGTGTTTGAAGAAGGAAGGGTTTGGAAGACAGTTAAGGGATTCTCCTCCATGTAGCTCAGTCCTGAGTCTCCAGGTAATGAGGAAATGCAGCCCTTGCAGATAAGAGGAGTGCAGCCCTGCAGTTACACACACCCTCATGTGTTTCCTTAACCTTATTTACACTTTGTTGTTCTTCTCTGCTTCATTCACACCAGATGCTTCCTGAGAGGAAGCAAGCCCCAGAACACTCTAGAGACTAGGACAGCCCTGACACACACACACACAACACACACACACACACACACACACACACACACACACACACACACCCTTAATGAATGAGTAAAGGAGAAATCTAGGACTGGACACACAGCCTTGTGATCCCAAAGACTGAAAGGAATACCCAGTTACTGAGGGCCAAAGTTCAAAGCCTGCATGAGATGCAGAGATCTAGGACATTAATGAGAGATGTCTCAAAATAAAAGGTGGTGAACTAGTAGCTACTGACAGTCTTCAGAGGTATGCCCACTGTTGAGCCTACCAACTCCAATGAGTAACTTCAAGCCTATGGTCACAGGCAGCCCCTGTTAGATTACAAAACAAAACCCAGAAGACATGAATGTGGGAAAGGAATTTTCCAAAGCAACATAGGGGGGTGTAGGGGTAAGACTAATCAGAATGCATTATATACTTGTATCAAATTGTCAAAGGACAATTTTAATTAAAAGATTAACTATTTCTGATGTCTGATCTTGAAAGACTTGAAAGGAATTGTGTGGTTTGTCATGATTCTTAGCAACATATGCTGAGCTGGGCTAACCTATTAGCTGGGTGGTCACTTGAACTTGAACTTGGCAAATTTGGCATACATCCCTGTGCTCCTGGCTGCAAAGGTGACCTAGAAACCTACTGTTCTGCAATTCCATACCTGCAAATGGCAGTCCTGTAGCAGTGTTGACAAAGTCCCACCACCCGAGTCTTACACTCAAAAAGGATTTCAACCCTCCCACCCCCATCTAAGACAGGAAAAGAGTCATGTATTCTACTTTTTAACTTCTGCAAAGCAAGACCTACACAGACTCTTCCACACAGTAAATCCAAGAATGGCTCCCCACCATATGAAATGGACTCTCAGTGGCGACCCTTTGAGAGTACAGAGTCCAAATTGTCTTTGAAGATAAGTAAAACAGTCATGAAACAAGCCATTATGCTGAAAGCTGAAAATCTGGACAGCTCATCTTATGGCAAGCACTATCCCATTACAGTTCCAACCCAGAGATTCTAAGCACTGCCTGGGTGAGTAAACAGCTCATTGATTTCCCTGCCACACCCCTAATATCATCAAAATTCCATTATCATCTGAATGATGGCTGGTGGGAAGGTCATAGCTATGGCATGAAAACCATGTTCACAATATGTATGCTTTTGTGTTAGGAGGAGATTTAAAAAGAGAGGAAGAAAACTCATCTTGGACTCCCTGGCACTCCAGTAGAAGCCAGACATGCGCCCACTGCTGTGTAATACATTATGTATTATGGAACTGCTGTTGCTGCTTCAGCAGTGTGCTGGCCACAGCATACCCTCTCATGGAAGCCAGATCCAACGTGGGGCTCAAATGGGCCTGCTCTGGAAGGAAGACAGCACTAACTGGGAAGTAGAAATGGCAGCAATGCTGGGAGGACCATTTCTCCTCTGTGATTATGGAAGATGAGCATGTACATTATGCCCTTCCAATTTCAGTGGGTCATGCAAGCCTGGGGTTGTATTGTTTTTATAGAGCACAAGAGAGGAGACAAGAAATGAGACTAAGCTCCATGAAAGTTAGCTGGGCCATTGAGTTCATTGACTTGAACTCTGACTTGAGAAACATTTATAAAAGCTGTATAGCATCTAGGCTTAGAACCTCTTGGAGGCATAGCGCAGGGCTAACATCAAGATCTGTCCACTGGATAAGGCAAGATAGTTTCTGTGCCTCCAGTGGCATTTACCAGAAATGGATTAATCAGAAAATATCTTCACATGCAAAGGATAGAAGAAAAGAAAGAGCAGGCTCAAACGTCAGAAGAGCAGGACACGTTTAGGCCAGAGAGCCCTGGCCAGTGTAATTAGCTCTGAATAAGTAAGAAAACAAAACAAAAGTAATGTCCAAGTGCTGTGGACTACACATCAGTCATTCCTAGAAGACAAGTCAGCATGGCCTAATTTTTATAGGCACAAGCAAGATGACAGTCACTTCTACACAAAGTCTCATATTCAGTTCGCAGAAAGAATATGGATAATGTTCTACAAACCTAAGATCCAGAGGCATGAAATTTAATGTGTTCAGAGCAGATGTCTTAGGACACTTTGTGATGTAATTTGTAGCCTGTCTTCAAATGTTAATAGTACTGCCATCATTTTGCAAAACACAGCCAAGCTATGATCCCTACCCCATGGGTCTGAAATTAAACAAAAGAAATAGAAATCTGTAGCAAATGCAATGACAGTATACCTGTAGCTAGCTTTGAAGGTTACTGGAGACACTCTCTGCCTTACACTATATCATCTGTGATGGTATGAATGAGATTGCCCTTGTATGTATTTAGTCTCCAGCTGGTGGCATTGTGTGGGAAGGTCATGACACTTTGGAGTTGAATAAAAACCATCACTTGGGGTGAACTTTGAGGGGATGATAGCCCCACTTCCTGTTCTCTTCCTCTGCTTCCTGCATGCAGGTGAAATGTGATCACCCAGCTTCCTGCTCCTGCTGCCATGTCTTCTTCATCAAAATGGATTCTATCACCCTGGAACGTAAGCCAATATAAACCCTTTCTTCTTTAAGTTGCAATTCTTGGGATATTTAATTGTAACAAAAGAAATATAACCAATGCTTTACTGATATCCATGCCCCTTCCATCCCCATTAATGAGCAGTTGAAAAATCTCAGAGACAGTAAAGGTGTCAGGTCCAAAGGAAACTCTAATTCCCCAAACCCCAAAAGGCTGGCCAGATATTCAGAAATGAGCTCAACCTGGACTGTATGAGCAATTCTGGAATTTAGACAAAAGCCAGCATTCCTTGGTAATTTGGGAAACTAGGTCCCACTTACCAAATGGAGTCATTTTTCTAACCTCTGGCAGAAGGGACATATGGTTATTTATGGCACCTGTCAGCCTATCAAAACCTCTTGCTGACCTCCAGGGTTCCTCAGCATCACAAGTATCTGCTAACATTTCATGCTAGCATGCTAGCTCTTCTCAGTTCTTCCCCTGTCCTAAACTCCTTCCAGGTCATGGGTTTTCCTTTCCCACAACTACTTCTTCCCCTTATAGCCCTATTATGCTTGCTATGTTCTCTCTATACTCTGTGCCTGCTTTTCTCAACTATGTATTCTCTATTTGCTATCCCCTGCTATTCTCCCCTTTCTCATAAACATCCCTGGCCATGTCCCCATGTCCAGTCTTCAGGTCATGTTCAGTCTGCTTTTTTCTCACCTGGACTCTTCCAGATGTGCCCCACCCCCAACGCCCCATCTCATATCTACAATAAAAACCTTCCACTCAACCATACCATGGAATGGTCATGTCATCAGTTTCTACAAAAGGAAATGTTTTAGTTGTTATTGTTGCTCTGAGTAGATACCCAATGAGACCAACTCAGTGGTTTATTTTAGCTCACAGTTTGAGGCCAGTATGGAAGGAAAGACTCAGAAGCAGGAGAATGTGGCAGCTGTCCCACTGTGCCACAGTCAGGTAGCAGAGACAGAGATGGATGCTGGTGCTCAGTTCATTTTCTCCCTTCTAATTCAGTCTGGAACCCAAGTCTCTGGGGCAGTGTTTCCCACATCAGGGTACGCCTTCTCTTGACTCAGTTGAACTTTTCTGGAGACAAATTAAGAGGTGTGTTTTATGCTGAATCTAAGTCTCATCAAGCTGACACTAAAGATTAACTATCTCAGGAAATCTTAAGGAAACAAAGGAAGAAATGAGAAGCAATATTTACTACTTAACCCCACGGTATGTATGTATGCATGTGTGTGTGTGTGTGTGTGTGTGTTTGTGTATGTATGTATGTATATGTTTGCATGTATGCTATTTTGTAGAGGTAAAATTAGAATTATCACATTGTGATACCGATTTGCTAATCATTCTGCACATTAGAATTTGAGGTCACTCATAGCAGGCACACAGTCCACCCTTCATACTTGGTCTATGTTCATTGAGGCATGCTCATTTTGGACTTACATGCTTTCATCATTTCCTTATTTCTCATCTCCAGGGATATTGTACCAGGTCATTTTTCTGCTCCAGTGGGTTGTCTTCTTCCTAGGTAGACACCAGGACCTCCGGAAATTCTACTTATAGAGAGAATTTAGTTGTATAAAAGCAGGAAAGTTCAGAGACATCTGTGATTCATGCTTAACATTTTTTTGCAGAAAATTGACATTTTTGTCAATTTTCACAGTGACATAAAGACTAGGTCTAAAACTGTATAAGTAAATAAATAAATATCTCTGCTACTCACAATATTTTGAAGTTTTTAAGCTTAGTAGATCTATATTATCAGGGAGTCATAATAGAGCAAAAAAAAAAAAAAATTGAACAGGAACCTGTACTAGCCAGCTTATCTTCCTCTGCCCTTACCAGAGACAGGCACCTGTTACAGATTTTGTGGACACGAGGCAGACAAATCTTCAGCTCTCTGAGTTCCTGAGTGACTGCATGGAACAGAATCACACAGAGCCTGCAAAAGGGGTCAAAATCAAACTTGTTGCTGTTGATGGTGGTATCTGAAGACACTGAGAGCCTTGGGTTTCTTGTTCTTCTGACTTACACGGGCAGCCTGAAGTTCCCTCCTCCAGTTCTCTTGCTATGATCATGTCTTTCCTGCTATTGGAAGAATCATGTTAAGGTAGAGGCCTAGTGACACCATTCTGCATCAGAAATCCAGTGGACCTGCTGTGACCAGTGTCATCCTGCTTTTTATGGACATCAGTTCTTTCAGCATTTGGATCCAATAATAGATTCAATCTCATTATTTCTCCTACTCTATATAATCTATCTGCTTTATGAAATTAATCCATTCACCAAGTAAATTTCCACTTTCCAGTATTCCTCTTGATCCCTGGAGATATAGAATAGCTAGACTCAATAACAACAACAACAACAAACCATGGCTTTAGTAGACATGGCTTTGGAGACAGTAGTTAATGGAACTTTCTAGAATGAAGAAATTGCTTTGCCTCTTCTTTGTCTAATAAAAACTTCAAGTTCAGAATCCTTGAGCACATGAATTTATATAGGATGTTTTTGTTTTATTTAAGTCTTGCTATTGCAAATCTAAGTATAAATGGTTGGGTTTTCAAAATTTATTTATTCAAGTGTATGAGCACTGTGCTTTTATGCATGTCTGTTTACCACCTGTGTGTACAATGCCCAAGAAAATCAGAAAATGGTGATAGCTCCCATGTGCCTGGAGTCACTGATGTTTTTGAGCCACCACGTGGGTGTTGGAAATTGAACCTGGTTCCTTAGAAGAGTATCTAGTCCTCTTAACTGCTAAGCCATGTCTCTAGACACATTTTTTGTTTTGTTTGGTTTTGCTTTTTTCTTCCCATATGTTAGTATAGTTCTGTAGGCAGAATGCAGATATTCACAATTAAAAATTTTCAGGATAGAAAAACAAGACTATGAGAAAGATTTCAGGTAGCCTTAAATTGGAATGGAGGCAACAGAACACAATTGAAACATTAAAGTCGCAGAAGGAATGACGATAAAAGCTGGTCATAAGGATACCAGAGAAAGTGTAGGTAGTGAAAAGAAGAGAGATGCTTGGAGAATCAGGAAAAGTAGTGTCGCTGAGCAGAGAGTACCAGTGAGAAGGGATCTATGCATATTCTGGGGTTTTGAAGGTTGTGGGAAGTAGCATCCCCATCTCAGCCATCTATTTGACAATTCTTTACTCTTGACACTTTGCAAAGAATGTCTTCTCTTCCCATCCATTTTACTCTCCCCTTTCATAAAGTAATTTTTCTTCATGGCCCTCTTCCTCTTGCATGAAACTCCTTGCCCAAAATAAGGAAAAAGAGCTTTTTTTCTTCAAGTGCATAAGCTTTGTTTCTGAGAGACTACAAAGCAAAGGTGAGTCTGTTCATTGTTTTCATGTCTGCTATCATTTTATTTAGTTTAGGTTGCTTCAATTGTTCCGTAATAGGGTTTTTACCAAGAAAATGTAAGCATCTTGGGACTGAAACTCATGTTCAAACAGACTCTCCAATGTGATCATGCTCCATACCGGATGCATTTTTATTGATGAGTTGTCATTTATTCAATTAAAATGCATGTATCTTTGATATGAAAAAATTATTGATTTTTAAGTGTGATTGACCAAGGCTCACATTTATCTTATGTTTGGAATGCCCAAATCTTTGAGCTCTTCAGATAAACTGTGAGGAACGTGAAGTTAGAAATTATAACTCATGTTTGAATCCTCAGTGCTTGGATCCTCGGGCACAAAATAGATTGTGGTTTTGGAACAGTGTGATGTGATATGCCCTTAAAATGTACTCTGGGGATGGGAGAAATGGATCAGTGTTAAAGCACGTCTCGTTCTCCAGAAATTTTGAGTTCAAATCTCCATAGTCACAATTCTTGCTCCAGAGGAGATCTTCTGGCTTCTATAGGCAGATGCGTTCATTCATGTGATCACAGCCCATGTACATATACATAATTTAATGCAATAAAACAAGGCTCTTAAAATGCAATGTTCCTGTGAGGAATGCTGTGGGTATTTTGATTGGGATTGCACTGAATCTATAAATTGCTTTTGATACAGTGCTCATTTTCCCAATGTTAATTTTCCCAATCCATGAACGTGGGGTGTCTTTTTATTTTCTAGTGTCTTTTGTAATCTTTTTTAGAGATTTGAAATTTTCATCATAGATGTATGTCTCCTCCTTATTTGGGGGTTATTCCAAGAGATTTTATTGTGTTTTATGTTATAGTAAATGCAAATAAGCCCATGATCTCTTTCTCCGTGTGTTTGTTGTTGATATATGGCAAGGTTACTGATTTTTCTTTTAAACCAGAAAGACCATGGATATCTAAAGCAGTCCTGGGTAAATGGAAGAATTTTGCCAGGATTGCTATTCCAGAACATAAGTAATATTATAGGGCTATAAACAACATCGTATAACAATGAAAAGAATAGAAGACCCAAACAAGAGTACTTGCAAACTACAGATGTCTGATATTTGACAAAGAAGCAAAAAAATATACTGGAGAAAAGACAGCATCTTCAACAAATGGTGCTAGGAAGCCTGGATCTCCACATGCAGTAATGAGTTTACAGACATATCTATTACCCTGAATGAAAATTAGATCCAAGTGAATCAAAGATCTCTGTTTGAAACCTGAAACACCAAAATCGCTATAGGAAAATGTGGGCATGACTCGATAAGACACAGGTGTAGGAAAGGACATTCTCAACCAAATTCCATTGGTCAAGGAATTAAGGTCAACAACTGACAACTGCAAACTCATAAAACTAGGATTTCTGAAAAGTCAAGGCAGCAACATGGTAAAGAAGAAACTCATAGAATAGGAGAGAATCTTTGCAAGCTACACATCCAACAGAGGATTACTATCCAGTATATACAAGAAATTAAAAATAAAGGATCAAAGAAACAATGACACAATTAAAAATAGAATAAAAATCTAAATACAGTGTTCTTAAGGAAGAAATAAAAACCGGGTAAGAAATAGCTCAAAAAGTGTTCATCATCCTTAGCAAACTAAAACAACACTGAGATTTCTTCATACCTCAGTCAGAAGGGCTAAGATCAATGAAATAACAGAATGTAAATGTTCACAAAGTTACAGAGGTAGAAAACCCTCATTCACTGGTGGTGGGAATGTAAATTTGTACGCTTGTTCTGGGCAAGATGAAGAATGAAAGAAACTAACTAAATGAAAAATAAATCTGTCATATTATCCAGTTATATCTAATTCCTTTGCATTTGTCCAAATGACTTGACATCACATTCCCCTTCATGAGTTCATGCAATGTTCATAGCTGCCATGTTCACAATAGCCAGGACATGGAAACTAACTAAAAATCCCTCAGTTACTGAGTGGGTAGTGAGATTATGGTACATATACACCATGGAATACTATTCAGCTTTAAAGAAAACAAAATCATAAAACTTGCAGATAAATGGATGGAACTAGAAAAAGTTGTATTAAGAATTGTGACCCAGACACAGCAAGATAAATGCCATATGTCTTTTTTTCATCTGTGATTTCTAGCACCAAATCTTCGGATATAAGTATACTACACAGAGCAACTGTAGGGACCAGGAAAGGTTAAAGGGACTAACGGTGGTTGTGGTGGAGGGTGATAGGAAGGGGAATAGCAGGATGCAGGGGATATGAAGTTAGAGATGGAATAACAGAGCGGGGGCTTCTACTGGGAAGAGGGAGGGAGTTCAATACTAAAAGGATAAATAATATCAGGAAGTGTTTGATAAAGCCTCAAGGAATCATATTTTATATTTACTTTCAATAATGTACATTACATATAAGTATATACATGCATAAATGCACAGATAGATGGATGGATGGATAGATGGATGGATAGATAGATAGATAGATAGATAGATAGATCGATAGATCTCCTATGTATTAAAGGAAATTAAGCTACTTGGACTGACAATACTCTCAGCAAGAATTTAAGGTAGACAAAAACTCCAGTACCAGTCAATAGAAACCTCTAGGAATGTTGGTCAGGGTAACCCAAGTGATTCCCAAAGCAATATACATGTAGCCATGGTTGCCTCTCTGAAGTTCAGGATGACTTTAAGTCACAGGATTGGGATGATTCAAGCTGGATATGACCAGAGAGACTCCTGCTGTCTAACTTTTTTATTTCCAGAAAATATCATGTGAGGTGTCAAAAGTTAAATAGTCCTACCCAGCTACAACATCATGACAATTACCAGTATGGCAAGAGATGCATAAAGGTGCATCAAGGGGAGGGACGTTATGCTTGAAACTGAAAGCCTAGCCAGCTTCCTGGGACCCTTGGGTCATGATCCATAAAAGAATCTACTACCACCACTTTGGTAGAACAGCATAATTCCTCACTACATTCTAAATCTTATTCTAAGCCCACAGGCAAGTGTAGCTCCCACTCCTCATCCAAGAAGCCTCTCTTTACAGCAAATGAAGACCTTCACACAATACTACAACTGGATGCAATGCAGAGATTAGCAGATCGTGGGGAGCATGCATCTATATCATTATGTGGGATGCATTGACACATGACTCAGGCAGGCATCTATGGCTCACTGAACATCATGGAAGAGGATGTGGAAAGATTATAAGAGCCAGAAATCATTTAACCGCCCTCCTAGGGATGAGCCCCTTATTGTTTGTCCATTGCAGGGTGTTCAGCCTTGACCTCATATCCACCCAAGCAACAAA